CCAAACAATATGCTGTTACATAAAACATATTTCAAAATAGCATAAGCCATTAGAGAGGACTGTAATTTTACAGGATACTTTGAAAAGTAACCATCCCAACGCAGCTGAGTTTCTCCTTGATGTTATGACAGTGGAGATCTTAAAAACTGCCGGAGGGGGGACAGTAAGGCAAAGGAATCCTGTCCTGAGAGTCTGTTGTAGAGGTGAGGCACCTGGCAGAGGTTTTCATTCCACTGCACACACAAGGCAATTAAAGATTGCATTTTGCACGTGCTGATGAGAGGTTTGAGATGGGAGAACCTTTTTGCCACCTCTAGAGATCGAGCACTGACGTTGTGATAGCTTTAATTTACAAAACCTCTACCAATTCAAAAGATGTCAAGGAGCAATGGGTGCTATTCTGCCAACAAGCAGTGAATCCCCCCAGGCCTCTGCAGGCAGGAGACCATGGCCATTAAAACAGAAGGCAAAAACTGATTGAAGTTAACTTTATTCCAAAATATGTATAATTTACAGGACTAAATAAGTGCTTCATTTGTGAACAAAACGTTTCAATACCTGTGAATAACTTACTGGTAGCTTTGTGTAACACTTCAGTTTCCAACAGAGGGAAATATGAAACAGTATTTTGGCACAAGGTTTTCTCTGCATGCAATAACATATTTAAAAGTTTCACAGTTACTAGGACAACATTCCTTCTTTGGGATTGTCACTTGTAGAATACGTCTAAGAAATGAATCCTTGACTTTGTCTGCTCATTGCAAGTTTACTGGCTTAAACAGCGAGAATTAAACATGAACATCCTTTGGAAACTAAATTTGTCCAGTAAATAAAAAAATCCCACTGGTGATGAAAAGAAAAATATTTTAAGGACATTTCTCAGCCTTGCTGAGATCAGCTCACACATGCCTGGGGAAAGACTCACCCATGAGGTTTATTACTCATCCATTCAAAACAATCCCAAGTTTCAGCGAGATCCTAATCAGCTGCTGAATTCTTTAGGCTGTAGAAATATGGCTTTCATATCTAGCTTTGCCACAGATGCACCTGCAAGTACCTGCAGATGGAAGTGCTGCCACTGTAGCTCTGCGTGCAGGTGCTGGAGCCAGGCCTGCAAGGCACTGGCTGTTGTGAAACGCACAGTTTGCATCAGCACAAGTCATCTGTTACCTTGTTGAAGGTTCTGTAAAGCCAGCAGATGAGAAAGGATCCCAAATACAGGGAATTCTGTTATTCAGCTCGGCAGTTCCTTCAGGAGCTCCTGGCGATCCGGGCTGTCTGGTGCCATCTGCACTCGAAGGGAAGAGCCACTCACACAGACACAACCATTCCCTCACACATTCACCTCCCTGGCTTCTGCTCATTGCACAGCAACGGCATTTTAAACAGGAGAATTCAGGCATGTCCTAAAGCAGCAAAGTCCTTCCAGCACACACGGAAAAAAAATCACACCAGCTCTTAAAAAAACCCAACCAACCAAAGGGAGGACGCACGTTTGCACCTTGCACTGCAGATTGCTACCACTCAACATCCTCTCAGTGTTCACAGGAGGCCCAGTTCTACCAGGACACATCATAGCAGCACCTTCAACCAAAAAGGAATGAGAGAAGCTTGCAAGGCCCAGAATGTTTCCAACGTTTTGGTGTGAATGTATTTGGAACGGTAAATTGTACATTAAGATCACGTTTAAAAAACCAGCACGAGTCAGAAATACATTAAAGCAAAGGAAGCTGTACAACCTCAACAACAGAGGCAAGTACATTTGGTTCACCAAAGCTGTCATTTCAGGAACATGTTTCTTTTTGCAAGTTGAGCACCCTCTGTTGATTCAGTATCAGTTCTATTGACTTAGCCTACGTTTGAAAGGATACTAAAAAATAAAATCTCCTAACCCTTTAAGACCCCAATCCTGCCAACACTCACATTTCTACCCGGCCTCTCAGGAAAATCAATTCAGCTACGAGCACGTGCCAGCAGCAGAAGGACTGAGCACAGGGGAAGGCATTCTTTGTTCTCTTGCCCCTCACACACAATCAAGGTCTGTGTGACAAACAGGGAAATTCAGCCTCTTGTTGTCAACAGAAAAAAAAAATGGCTGTGTATGAGCCTTGGAATCAAAATCTGTAAGCAGTTACTTACACACATTAATTTACAGACACTGGCTGGATTGTTCAGAACTAGATGAGGTCTCACAAGGCTTGTTTTCCAGCTGTTTAATTTACAGCTGCAAGTATATATACATTTTTTTTTTTTAATGCTTTCAATACCCTTTGGAAGTTAACATTTTCTAGACACAAGCAGCTTTGCATAGCTAAGAATGTGTAGCATTAGCAAACTCTGACTTAAAACTACCAATTTTTCTAGGCCAACACAAAGAGGGGGGACTCCCTACCCCCAGCAGAAAGTATTTACAGGTGTATTAGCAGAAACAGATGCAAATAAAGCCACAAGTAGAAGAAACATCTCCTGTCATACAAACTTTTAGCATTGTGACAAACAAATATGGAAGGCAACAACACAGACCTTTCATTTTTCAGCTTGTTTGTGCTCAGGCTCTCATAGAACGCAAGTCCCAAATTTGCTGTTTCCTTTGTTTGAATCTTTATAAAATAAACTCAAACCAAACTACAAACCCACTAATTCAGTTTTAGAATAGAGTTACACAGGCACCCAGGTCAAGATCCAGCAATCCCAATGGAATTGAGCAGGAAATGCACAGAGCAAGCACAAGGAACATTTGCATCCCTTCCAGACACACAACTGTGCTAAAAGGCTGTGGAGAACCTGATGTTACTTTGTGAAGAGCAGCTCTAATGGCAGCAGAGGATACAGAGGAGAGGAAGGAAAGGAGTCGCTGCTGAGCAAAACTTACAACAGAGACAATGCCTCAAAGACCAAATCAAACTGCAGAGAAAGGGAGATAATTATCATTTTAGTTCTACCAAGAAATACTTCTGAGTGAAGTTTATTTTTAACAATAACGGTGAAAACAGAAAATCAGCTCTTTCCAAGAACTTGTTCAGATGGGAGGAAATCACAATGTTCAGCATTTCAGATCGGGTTTCACGACGTTTACCGTGGGAGTCACCAAACTGTGAAGTCTGGTGGCAGTCTCCACATTTTCACAAAAATACTTCATAAATCCAAACTGAGTGACTTAGGCCAGCAACACAGGATCCAGACCTGTTTGTGACTGCTAGGAATAACTTATGGAGAACCAAATTTGTGAAGAAAAACGTTAATTTTGGTCCGAACGAGCCACTTCCCTAAGACAGTGCAGACAGATTTAATTACTTCTTAGTACTGCAGTTTCAGTAAATGGTTTCATCTTGTAGCACTGTGTTCACCAAATTAAGTTCAAACTATTTTAAACCCAGAGGATGAGTGACACCATTCTGATGTGCATGTTCTAGTAAAACACACAAAGCTCATAAATACTTATAAATAATTACAAAGTACAATAATTGGGTAATGATTACACTGTAAAGTTGTCCACATAAACCTGTATTTTTTTTTTTTTCTGGAAGTCCCCTATGGCTTACATCATAAGAACATGGCAATTATCACTCTAATTTGTAAATTAGTTTCAAAGTACTTTAAATGCCAGCTGGTCTCTCAGATGGCTACAACTCAAACCTCTCTGCAGTTCTGCTCTTCAGCACCTCAGATTCCTTCTCTTGCAGAAAAAAAGACTGACTTTCTAAATCCAGAGGTAAAGAAGTTCCTCGTTTCTGCCAGTTGAGGAAAATACCTTTCCCCAACCAGATTCATGGTAACTCCTTCTCTTTCCTGCACTTCTGTGGGAAACACAAAAGTCTGGGTATGAAGAAGTGTTATATTCCATCCAGGGGAAGAAAGGAGAAAGAAAAACACTTTGAAATGTAGAGATGCAACATAAAAAACCACAAAATAAATTAACCTAATTTTGTTGTCTTATTTCCCGATTTCAGAGTAGGCAGGTAAATACAAAACAGTCGTATCTTCACAAGAAACAAGATTACAAGTGATCCCTTCCTTTTTTTTTTTTAATATATCCCACCTTTCAGCTCAGAATTGGAGACACTGTGAAACCTGGGGGGACTTTCCCCACAGAATTACTGTGCTCCTGGGGAACTGCAAGATTCCTTTCTCCAGTTCCTCCAGCCAAAGCCTGGAAGTGCCTGAACTCGTACCTAGAAATGCTGAAAAATTAAACAGGCAACACAGCTGGGATTTCAGGAGGAAAAATGTGAGTTTCAGGGTTAATCTAAAGAAATGATTTCCAGTAGACGCTCACCATATTAGCATGTTAACCATGGCAATTTAAAGCGTGTTAGGAAGAGGCAAAAAATAGGAAAAGAAGAAAGGTATTGCTCATTTTCAACCAAAACAAACTGCCTGCAATGGATGAGTAACTCAACTCCCACATCCTGGAGCTGAGAATGTGCAACACAAAGCATAGGGAGTCCTCAGAACCTAAGGCTTGGACATCCAGCTGCTGATGGGCTGCACAGCAAAAACACAGCCAGCACTTCTCCACTGACAGCAGAGCAGTAAACTCTGTTAGAGGCCCAGGGATTTGACACGAAGAGGTTTCTCTTTCCTTTCAGGTTACAGAAGCTAAAACCTGTCCAGGACAAAACCTGAGGCCTACATTTCACAGATATCAGAGTAAGAGATAAAAAAGCTACTTAAGGCCATGTTCCAACGTACATTCACGAGTTATGCATTCTCACACGAACGGAAAACACCGCAAACAGTGGCATGAGGGGGCAACATAAACATTAAAAAAAGGATTCCAAGAGGTCTTTGTGTTTCTTCTCTGACAAATCAGGTTGTGTGAGTTTGACTGCACTCAGGGAAACTCTACAAGCTGCAGGAACTGAGGGCTGCAAATCAACGTGCAAAAAGCAAGATAGAGCTGTTCTGAAAGGGCTTCTGGGAGCTGATTTCCCAGCTCTGCTGTGTGTGTGGATTCCAATTGTTTTTGGAAGCAGGAAGTCCAAAAACAGGAGTCGAGGTGAGTGGGTGTTTTAAGGAATTTAATTTCCCATTTTTAAAGATTTCTGTGAAGGTAGTAAGAGCTATAAACCACTGTAACATTTCCCAACTTGTATCTCAGTAAAGCTAAGAGAACTTCAGCGAAAACAAATGATTCCAGTCTCAGAGGCACACACATTGTAACATTTGTATCTTACAGACAGAAATAATTTAAGCAAATCCCCCCCTGGAGACTCTCAAAAAACGTTAGTCCCATTTATTACCTCAGCTAAAAGGACAACAGACTAATTATTTTGCCTAGAACTATGAACTCCAAGTTCTTTTCCTACCCTTCAAAGGGCATCAGTGCCACTCAGGGAGAGAAAAAAGAAAAAAAAAAAAAGGTACTGCTTTCTAGATATTTTAAATAATAAATATGTTCAAAGACTTGAGAATCTCTCTGTGTCTAATGTGTAGGACAGGTATTTGGGAAGTGCCAGCTTACGCAGGAGAAAGAGCTGTGGAGGCAGAAAGTAAAAGAAGACAATACGGCTTATTATGTTCACGCCGGATTTAAAACACAAGCTCCTAAAAAAAGTAAACAGAAGTAGCTTACACTAAAAATAGAATCCTCCCCCGTAAGTTCAGGGAAGCATCTCAACTGAACAGGTCAGGGTTTTGGTCCAGCACATGGGAACCCTGCATGTAAGCCAGGAAGAGAGAGAGAGAGAGAGAGAGAGAGAGAGAGAGAGAGAGAACAACTTGGAAAAGTTCTTCCATTGAAATGAAAGCAGTAACAGCTTTGTAAAGAAGTTTGAGGAGAAAACATAGGCACCACATAATTTTTAAGGTTCAAATGTACATCAAGATGTTACAGTCCCCTCCCTCCCCCCCCATCCCCATTTATACACACATAGTTTATGTAAAGTTACATATTCAATGAGTACCTTCAGCACGAAAAATCTCTTAGGTCAACTGCTCGTGACAACTACATTCAGTGATGCAAAGTGGATCACTTGGTAAAGCCATTCTCTCCCACCCCAATAAGTTAAACTCAAACCATCACGTAGCACTCAGTGGCTGGGCTTGTCAGAGCTCTGGAACAAGGAGCACAGCTCTTCACAGGTCTGGGTCTCCACGGAGCTGAACTGGGACTCCATGGTGTTCCAGGCTAAGTCAGCCAGCAGGAAATCATCCATTGCTGTCTGTGTCTCGTTGCTGGTGAGGAACAAACTGCCCAGGTTCTCGAAGCAGCTGTCCATAGTCTGTGTCTCAGCACTGCTGAGCTGGACTTTGCTTTCAATGTTCTGGGCAGGTGTGGTTTTAGTAGCCATCATATACACTTCTGTCTGGGTCTCTGTATCAGATGAGTCAGTGCTCATGGAGAAACTGGACTGCTTCAGAATGCTTCCTAAAGGCAGGTGGGTAGTGCTGTCCAAAAAGAAATTCAGGTCTGTCTGGGTCTGTGTGTCAAACATCTCCAAACCCAAGAAGTTAGAACTGCCTCGGCAGTTGTAGGATTGAGTGGCACTATCTGAGAATAGGAAATCAGTCTGAGTTTCAATGTCCAGTGACTCCAAAACCGGCTCAGAGTTCAGGGTACCGAGCTCACTCTCTTCAGTCTGGGTTTGGATATTGGATGCTGAAAAGAACTCTTCAATGTCGAAGTCTATGCCCGTGCTCTGGGAGGGAGCAGATGGCAGATGTGTGTCAGCATTAGAACTTGTCTCGGACAAAAGGCCACGATTATCCAGTGTCTGGCCAGACATGTTTCCCGAAAAGATGTTTTCCAGATCACTTAGCAGGTCCATTGTCTGGGTTTGATTATCTGTTGTATTTTGAGGTGGAAGTATATTAGTCTGTGAATTGAAGCCGATCAGGGATTCAGACTTCACCGTGTCCTGATTCAGGCTCTTGCAATTAGTTCTTTGCAGCAAGGTTTGATCTATATTTGCAGGCATTAAATTGTTTTCTGGAAGTTCCATGTGAGTAGAAACATTGTACGATGGAGGAACATTGTCGAAGATGTCACTGCACATGACAGCCTGGTCCATCTGAACTCTTCCGCTGATACAGTCCTGTGACCTACTGGTTTGAGTCTCTCTGGAAATGCCACACGTTGGGAAACACCCCTGGCTGAAAGCATCAGTCTGAGCAGCTATGGATGATGTCAGTTTGGAAGCAGGCAGCAGTGTCTGTGTCTGTACACTGATGGGCAAGGAAACCTGGGAACCGAAGGACAGATCTGTCTGAGAGCAAGAGGACACACAGGAGCTGGGAGTCCAGGCTGCAGCTGGGACAAAGTTCTGGGAAATATAAGATAAGTCAGTCTGTATATTTATGGAAGAAATTTTGTTCTTGTGACCAACGTTGCCCATCTCTTGCCCTGTGTCACTGGATGGAACCTTGTCCAGCTCCACCTGCACACCGGTACTCACTGGCTCCCGCTCACCAGCCCCTGTCACTTTGGAAACAGGCATACTGTCTTTGAACACCAGGGTTTCTGCCTCCAGGGCTGGAATCAGAATTCCTATGGACTGAGGCAACAGATGAACAGTACTTACAACTGAACCTCGATTATCCACAGCCACCACAGCAGGTTTGACAGAAGGGTCCGTTGCAGACACATAAACAGGCAGGTGAGCGACCTGCATCACGGGCACTTTAACCAACGCCACCTTGGGCTTGGGCAAAAGCATCTTCGGGGTGCACTTGGGCTGCATTTGGTTTGTGAAGTTGGAGCTGTGGGAGCCTTCAAGAGAGGCCACCGCTTTCACTTCAGAGGACTCCAGTTCCTGAGTGCCAGGAGCAGCACTGTGAGTGCTGATGAACACCTCGTTTGCTTTCTCTGCCAGCTGCTGATTATGAGCAGAGGTTTCCATTTTCCTTTTCTTACTGGGAGGGTCCCTGTGAACAGGAGATCAATAATTTATACTTCTTTCAAGCACAGAACATCTGCCTTCCATTCTTTTGCGTCACTGCTCTGAAAATACAACCTGAAGTCACAGATGAGGGTGGATATGAGAAGATAACCATGAAGTTCAGTTTTGTTAAATGTCATCCCTCACTCAGTTAAAAAAAAAACAGAAAGGGCTACCTCTTTTATGGAGACCTATTTCTAAATGGAGGTGGAGGGTTTAGATGGTTTCTTCCTGTTGCACATTAAGCACTCTGAGTTGAAGATTTAACGTGTTACTTTGACGATAACTCAGACTGAGCATTGAAGGGACAGGGCTCTTAAAATCAGTGTACAGGTAAAGGTCTGGAAACTGGACACACAATTAGCATTCCTTCACACAAAACTTAATTTTGCAGCAGCTGAACCTCCCAGAAAGACAGTCCAGGCCTCAGAAAGCAGAGTGCCCTTTATGAAATATATACACATGTTAAAACAACTGTGAAACTAAACATACAAAGAGAGGTGGTAAAAAATGAATCCATTAATAACTGCAAAGACAACTAAACTATAAAAGAAAAAAACCTGAATTGCATTCCACCCCTACTTTACTAGCTAGAAACACTTACAAATCATCTCTGCTCTCAAGGAACTGCAAAAGCAGACGCAACAAGTGCCATCAGCACTCACGCCAGGCAGTGCAGTGTCATCAGTGCTTTTCGTTTGATCCACAGGGAAACCTGATCTTACTGACTGCACAGATCACCACTGCCTTCAACAAAACACCCACTCCTAAAAGCAGCAGAGCAAACTGTAAACTGCTCCCCAGCTAAACACACTGTGAGCCATTTTCCGTGGAACCAGCGGGAAGGAGACAGAAAGGCAGGACATGGGAGACACAGAACATTACCATGACAGAACTGCTTCACTGGTACCTGTGCTCTGCAGGGATTTCGTGGCCAGTTCTGTAAATGTGAGACAGCAGCGCTGTTCTGCTGGCATAGGGGCACCCACAAGTACACTGGAAAGTCTTGCCACAGACCTCTATGTGGCGTTTCAGATACCACTCTGTACCGTAGGAGTTACTGCATTTGTCACATTTGTGCTTCTTCTCGGCATGCATTTTCATAAAGTGCTAGAACACACAAGGGAAAGCAAACATTAGCTGCAGTGTAGATTAAAAACACAAGAAAATCATGTTTAGTTGGAATTTTTTAGTTGTTCAGCAACACTGAGGAGTAGCAATCTTCTTTAAAGTCTTACTATTAATAAGTTACAAGTTTAAAGAAAACTACAGAAAGAATTAAAAGTTGGCTAGATGTATCTTAAACCACAGATAAATATTTAACCCACTTAAAGCCACTGAAAGCTTCCTGTGGAAACAGATTAATAAATCTATAGCTCAATCTTGCTGCAGAGCACAGCCACTCAAACCCTACAGTCTCCCCAGCTCGTCGCTGGTAACCACCAGCAGCACCAGCTCTTTTTGCTCACTCACTCAGAAAACAAACCTTACACCTTTTCTGAAACAGGTAACTAATAAATAAATGCATTTTGATAATAAAGCAGAGAGAAACTCTTCATTCTCGCCCACTTAAAAAAAGCAGTTAAAAGCATCAGCCACATCTGAAACCTTCATTGGTTGCTACTGTGATTCCTTCCCCCATTTTTGATCTTTCTCCCTCTATTTTAATTTGGGGACAGGGGTTGTCTTCCAGGTCAGCAGAACATACTGGCAGCTGCCTGATCAAAAGGCTCAAATCCTCTAATACCAACATGCAAACAGGCAAATCCATTAACCACATGCACATCAGGAGTTCTCTAAGTTCTGCAGACATGCTGAGAGGCTCTGATGATATCTGAGTGCAAAAGTGGAGTAGAGACAGTCAGGACTAAACCAGTGTGAAAATACTTCAGGAATACCTGTTTTACAAGAGAAAACTGGGAAAATGGTCTGTTTGGTCCTCTAGGGCAGCCTTCAATAGGACAGCAGTAGAATTTCTGGGAAGTTTTCAAACCCTTCCTTATTGGTGCATTAAGTTTTCCATCCTGAAAAAGAAGCAGGTGAGAAGTTGACGATTCTAGGGGTTGGGATTTTACAGACAATATTCAGAACACACCTCAGGGAGCTGAAGGCACTTTCCTAAGCTATTTGAATGTTCAAATGCAGCTTTTCCCCTGTGGATGCCACTTTGCAAATGTCCCACCCAAAGTACCAATTGCAATCACAAGCTCTAGGGAGTGGTGGTTCTGCACTGCTCACTTTTACCAAGACACTCCAAGCCAATTAAACTCACATTTTGTATTTTTTTGATCCCCAAAAAAGTTGTCCATACAGATACTACACTAGACTGGTGTTACTTGTTAGTAGCACAGTAGTTGAGGCTCCACTGTGTAACACAACACTTCTGTGATGTTGGAATTCTGTTGCCACTACTCATGGTACTAAAATGCAAATAAAATGGAAAATGCCAAGCATGCTCTGCCTTTTAATTTACATCATAAACCAAATGTCACACCTGTGAAACAACTGGTATGCAAACTCTGAACCTCCAAACACTAAGGGACCACTCCACCTGGGGTTTCCATGTGATCTGTCTCACTGATCCTCACGTGCAAAAAACAGAAGAAAGCAACACAACTTGCTCAGAGGACCTCAAAAATACATATAAAAAGGACACATTAATGTCCACAACCACACAGAACCTCTTGCCACGGAGGGGACAGCTGTGGAAAGCAGACAAGGTGTGAACCTCTAGACATACCCTATCTGAAAGGGTCTCAGTGGAAGCACCAGGCATCTGTGTGTCTGAGCACAAAATTAAAAAGATCAGTCAAAACCCAACAACGCTGTTCTGAGTCACTTCTTTACGTTCCGAAAGCTGAGGAGGGGGATATTTCAATGATTATTTGGTTTTCCCCCAAATCACCTCTCTGTTTACTCAGTGTAAAATGCAATCCCTTCAAACAATATTTCAGTTATGTCTCCACACCCCCAACACTGCTATTGCTGCCACTGCTGCACGTTCATTGTTGGTAGTGACAGCCCATACTCGTGGTAGCAACGATTAGAGCCTCTCACCAAAATAATCAGCTGCCATTTCATCAAGAAAACATGGAATAAGGCCATAAAAAGGGAGTTTTCCTGTAACATTTTAACCTTCTAAGCATCTTTATGCACAGCAGTTTTCCCCATGGACAGCCCATTCATAAACAGGCCTGTTTTATCTCTGCTGAATCATCACTGTGATTGTTGTTGTGCCTCCCACAGCCACTGCCCAAAACAGGAACATGACTCAAACAAATCTCGGTGTTCCAGCCCCAATTACACTTTTTAACCCTGAGTTTACACAGAAACACTTTGGTTCGATGTCAGGCTTGAAGTCTTCAGGAGGAAAAAAAAAAAACCACATTTGCCTTTATGTTTGGCCTCTCCCACTGCAGATGAAATCAATACAACCAAGTGGCAACTGGAGTTACTTATTCCTAAGTAAAAAGTTATTAAGTGTGTTACATTTAATGTCACAACCCAACAAATGAGAGGGCAATATGGCAAACATGTTCAGGCACTTAACAGCTCAACCAGAGTCAGGTTATTTAAAACTACTGAAATATCAAATTACAGAATAACAAAATGTTTAAAAGCTTTATAAACATCAGTGAGGTGCTTTTTTTAACAGCTGGAACACACTTTGGTGGCACAGAGCACAACAAATTTGTGGTGGCAAGTTGAGAGATGCTCTACATATATAAGAAACCCTATATGGACAGTAATCTTGTTTTGACCTCTCCCAAATCCTCCTGGACTGATGATTAATGTTGCACCTTCTCAACCCCCACCTGGTCAGTCATATTTCAGACATTCTCCACTGACTCCAGCCTTCCTGCTATCCCAGGAATCCACAGAATCCTCACCTTTACCTCAACTCTCCCAGCTTCATTTAAACTACACAGAAGTCTTCCCCTTCTCCCCATAAAATAATACAGACAAAAGACCAACAAAATAAAATGAAAAATTCCAGTCTAATATATTGTGTCATTTTATACCCAGTGGTCTAATTTATTTTTTTTTAATTGGCTTAATTAAGTCACAAAACCAGAAAATAGAAACTTAGATATCAACACTTCATCATATCTTCTTTTGTTAGGCTGAGCAAGCCAAATTCTATTTCCCCTTTGTCAGACACACTTGCCATTCATCATCCTGAGCAGTTCTTTTCTACACCTTTTCTGGGTTCATTTTAACTTATTTAAATCAGATTTTTACTCCCCAGCACTGACAGAGAACATCCCTCTGACGTGTTTTAGGACTGCCCCTCTCACAGCAGCACTACCCCAAATGCTCATCCCTGTATGACCAAATTGCTTTTGCAAGTTTTCCCCATCAAAAGTTATTTCTGTTACAAACCAGGACCATTCAAACTGTTTGTTATCACCTCCCAATACTATAACCTTGTACTGCACCCATGTTTCAGTATTTATTCCAAGCTGCCCCAAGATCCAGTAATGAGGTGTAGGAAGCGGGTTGTGATTCCACAGGGCACAGGAGCTGGAGAACAGAGGCTGGGTGAGAAAGCAGCATCTCCTCATCCCTCATCCCCTGGGTTATGTAACCCCCCAGCTGCACTGCACTGCCAGAGCATCAGCTCACCACCAAAGTGCCTCTGCTGACCTCAGAGAACACTTTCAGCTCCTGCTGCACCTCCCCTGACACCGACACATAACCCGCACTGAAAGCTGTCAGTGCACGGCAGCAAACGCTTCAGAAATGAAAACATCTCACAGATAGCAGCCAGCAAAGTGCACTGATCGCTGCTTCCTCTGCTTCATCACCCACCAGCACCAGGAGCCCTCCCTTGGCCCTGCCATTCACCACCTCACACCACCCGGCTGTTCATTGTTCCCTGCCCAGGCTGCACTTTCAGGACGCAGCCACCAACGCTGCAGTTGAAGTTTTGCAGCAGAAGGATCTGTCCTGGCAGGCTTGGCACTGTGATTTTGGGAAGAGCAAGGATATCCTCCTGGAATCTGTGCCTGCTGAGCTGTGGCTCTCCTCCCCCACGAGCACATGCTGTGTTTTCTCAGGAGTATTATGGAAATGAGGGCTTCTTTCCAAAATGGCATCCATCTGGGTTGTTTTTCTTTTTTTTTTGGCTCAGACATTTAAAAAAAAAAAACCACAAAAACTCCACCTAAGAGCCCTGGGCGCTGGGATGAAGGTGGATTGCCAGCTGATAAGAGTAGGAAATGCTGCCTGTTTGCACAGCACCTCATAAATGGTGCTGTAAAGTCTTACTGCAGAAAGATAAGGGATAAGCAAGTGAAACAACAGAAGCTGAGTCCTGAAGAACTTTTTAACTGCCTGGGGTATGTTTATAAAAATGCTTAAAATTCGTTATTTTCTGTAAGTAATTTTAGAGGAATCCTCAACACGACTGGTCAGGCCATGCACACACACACCTGCTGGGGCCTTTCCCACAGGGGAGATTTAAACGAGAGACAACGAGAAACACTTTGTTATTCCCATCTGGAATCACAGAATGGTTTGGTTTGGAAGGGACCTCAAAGCCCGTCTCATTCCACCCCCTGCCATGGGCAGGGACACCTTCCACTAGCCCAGGTTGTTCCAAGCCCCATCCAACCTGGCCTTGGACACTTCTAGGGATGGGGCAGCCACAGCTTCTCTGGGAAACCTGTGCCAGGGACTCCCCACCCTCACAGGGAAGGATTTTTTCCTGATATTTAATCTAAGCCTACTCTCAGTTTGAGCCCATTCCCCTTGTCCTGTCACTCCATGCTCCTGTAAACAGTCGTGCCCCATCTTTCTTCTGAGTTCCCTCCAGGTATTGGAAGGCCCAATTAGGTCACCGCAAACCCTCCTGTCCTCCAGGCTGAACAATCCCAGTTCTCCTCAGGGTGGGGAATCACCCCCCACCCCGAGTCTCACTGCGAACCAAACCCCGGCACAGCCACAGCCACCGCCGCCCCCCGGACCCGCCCCCGGGCCGGCCGCAGGCCCCGGGGCCGCCCCCGGCGCTGAGGGAGCCGCGCAGCCAGGCCGAGGGGCGGCCCCGCGGGTGCCGAGCGGGCGGGGGCGGCGCGGCCTCCCGGCGGTACCTGCAGCGGGTGCGCCTTGCTGAGGTGCATGTTGAGGGCCGGGCTGTTGGGCAGCACCTTCCCGCAGCCCGGCACGGTGCACAGGATGTTGGTCCGCACTTGGGACAGCTCGGTGACCGAGGGCCGCACCAGCTCGGCGGCGGGCGGCTCGTCCCGCCCGGGCGCGGGGGGCCGCCCCAAGCCCCCGCCACGCCGCCCGGCTGCCGCCGCCGCCGCCATGTTGCTGTCACCGCTCGGCCCCCCGCGCCCCTTCCGGGCCCCGCGGCCAATCAGCGCAGCCGATGCAGAATATTCATGAGGCACGTGGCGTGGCCCCGCCCCCCCGCTCGTCAGCGCCCCCCGGCGGCGGCTGCGGGCAAAGCGGGGGGGGGCCCTGAGTGGAGAACACGCCGGGCTGCGGAGCGGGAACAGAGGGAGACAAACACATGGAAACACAGGGAAATACATGGAAAACCGCGCGTGCCGGGCCTCGGAACGGCACAGCCCGTCAGCGCAACCGGCTGAGGCGTCCCCGCTGCACCACGGAGGGGCTGCGGGTATTGGGGTGCACAGGCAAGCGGAGGGACAGGCACTGATCCCCCCTATGGCACTCGGATCCCAGGGAAGGGCCGGGAGGTGGGTCAGGGAAGGTTGAGGTGGATATTAGGAAAAGGTTCTTCTCCCAAAGGGTGGTCGGGCACTGAACAGGCTCCCCCGGGCAGTGGTCATGGCCCCAAGGCTGACAGAGCTCCAAGAGAGCTTGGACAAGGCTCTGAGGCACAGGGTGGGATTCTTGGGCATGTCCTGTGCAGGGCCACGAGTGACTGATTGTTGTGGATCCCCCCCTCATTCAGACTATTCTGTGATTCACTGATGTTGGAACCAATGACACAACACTGTGGTTTTTCCCCTGTAATTTGTCAAGTTCAAGGACAATACGTGCGCCATTTACTGGGGAAGGGTTGTGCCATACACAGAGCTCCCAGGCTGTGTGTCCATCCCACAGCCCCTCTCCCCACAGCTGCTGCTTGGGATTATCACAGAACAGAGGTCATCTAGTCCAACCCCAAACTTCCAACTTACTGGAAGAGACCTAGCTGGAGTGAGGAAGACAAGTTTGGTCTCCACGTTCCCCCCTTGCCTTACCTTCTCCATAGGGACACCTGCTCAGCAAGAAGGAACGCGGGAGTTGCAGACGTGTTTTCTGAAAAATTAATAAATACTCACCTCCTTGCCTGGAAGTGCTGCATAGATCCTGTAATATCCCTGCTTACAGAAAGTTAGAGATAAAACACATCTCTGAAAATCAGAGATACCAATGTTTTGGTTGTTAAAAAGGGGATGGAGCCTGCCTTTCCCAGAAACAAGAGGCAAGCACAGGCAGTAGGCCAGGCACTCACAGTGTTTTAGACCATTTGGGAACTTTACCTTTATGGTAAATCATTGTCATCTCAGGCATTTAAGTTATTTGGGAGAGAGCATTAGGAAGAACAAGTTGCAGAGAGTGAAATGCACACTGGAATCTTAATGGACTTGAATCCTGGAAGGCTCTGGGAGGGTGAGTGAGACACATTAATGGCCAGCTCTTAATGTCTATCACACAAAACCTGGAGTTCTTTCAGAATCCTAACATGAACTACTTTGTCAAACTAAGATTTAAATCACGCAGGTGGAATTCCTAAAAACCCTATCACAAGCAGAGAGTCCTAAACTAACCTCTTTTAAAGTGTGAGTTACAGAGAAAAAAAAAAACCAAACATCAGTATGTGAGAAGTTATATTTCTAAGCGAGGCCAAACAAACTTGTATGAGAAGATTTAATTTACATGTTTATTTACAGTTTGAAAACAAAAACATGCCCATACAACCTCTCAAAATAAGGCTATCTCTGAGCACTGAGGTATCCAAAATGAATTGGAAATTCCACATTACACAAAGAACACACAAAACTGTCCAGGTAACAGAATTAAAGAGAAACACTTGTACTCAAGAACTGAATCTTGGGATCAACTTCATCTCAAAAAAAACCAATGCAGCAACTATCTACACAATTCCCAAAGTTTACCAACTCTAAGGAACTCCAATGCAAAGCTGTTTGCATTAGTGACTGTTGCCACCTTGATCCTGCAATCTTTGTCCCCGAGCACAAAAAAGTGGCAACATGCAAGGATTTCAGAAGGATGAAATATTATTTAAAATGGGTGTAAACAAAACATTGCCTGTTTCATTGTATTCCTCCAAGACAAAGTTTCCTAAGACATCAATAGCAAAGATAGATTTTTCTTAAGTATTTACTGGCATCCACATTCCAAGAGTCCCTTCTTCCCTGTTCCCTGTAATGGTCTTGGAATACAAACTTCCCCTCCTTGGATAAAGAGCTGCCTGGCCTGCAGTCCCACCCATCTGAATGGGACATTCTCAACTGCAGTCACAATAAGAAGGGCCACCAAAAATATCAGAGTCACCTGCAGCTCTGAGAGCAAACTGAGCAGCTACAGCTCTGTTATTGCATCTTCATTAAGCTTTAACTCCACAAATACTGTTAAAAATACAGTTAGGAGTAGTCCTTACATTTACATTTAAAATAACCACGATCTCTCTGTTTAAACTTTGTAATTGAGGCTTTTATTAGTTAAGGGAAGGGCTAATTTCTGTCAAAGGCAACTGTGGGGAGAATAATTCAAAGAAGCCATAACTTGGAAAAAAATGTAAGGTATTACCAAAGAATAAGTTATTTCTTTAAGGTCTGTTTTAAAGTTTATGATGATTGAGATTAATACCAGTAATAAAAAAATTGCATTTTTCTCTATGACTCGGTTTTCAGTTAAGGGCTTACAAAACTTTCAGGAAATAAACCTCTTTTCTCTCTTATTCTAAAATAATTTCTAGCTTTTTGTGGGATACATGTAAGGAGTGGTGAAAGTGGTGCATCAGCCATACCTGGAGAGAAAGACACAAATGATTATAGCTTGTACTCAGCTGTTATTTACCTTTCACAAGTGTTACAAAACTAAACCACAAACCTAAAACTACAGCTTGAGTCTCCATAGACAAACTAGTCATTTTAAGAATGAACTGTTATGTATTTAGATCTAAGTTTTTAAAGTGGTAACATCTTTGTTCTACTACACTTCTATCAGTTTCCAAACAAACCATAAGGTTATGCAAGATATTTAAATTAAAAACAAACAAACAAAAGCAAAAACACAAAACAAAAGTGGATTTCCCCTCCATTTTATAGAGTTGGGACACTTACCTGCTGGTGCCAAGGATTTCAGTGATTCTAAAAGATGTGGACTAGAAAACTTGACCAGACATCTGAATGGTTCTTTTTTATCCAAAACATCCATTTCAGGACTACTTTTAAACATTGTCTCAAGCTGTTAAACACAAAATTTAAGCAGGGAGTATAAGCAATGAATATATTTCATTTATATGTTCTTAGTTAAATGTAATATGCAATAAGACTGTTTCTCATTTGTAATGAACATGATTCCAGCAGGAGGAATGTTGTAATAAAATCAGAGGGTGCCACCCTGTGGCAGTTTTCTGCTGAAGAGGCAGCTTGTTCAGTAATACTGTAAAACATGAAGTATCTCTTCAAATTGTCAATGTATCTGATCATCAGCTAAAATCAGTGCATCACTCAAGTTAATTATGGTGTTATACGGAGAATGAGCTTTGCATGTGCTTCAAATAACCCTCATTGCTCCTGCTCCAAAACACTGCTGGTCCAAGTCTACCTTTGTTCCAAAAACAAGTCAAAATGCTGAGTTTGCCAGGCTGAAACGTGAGCTAAGACTGACCAAATCTCAATGCAAATCTGTTTGTTAGAGAGACTTTTAACTAATTTATGTTAAAGTGTCCTCCTGAAAGTTTAAAAAAGCATAGTATTTCTTCAATTTGAAATTTAGCTCAACTACCTCTACATGAAAATTATAAAAAAAACCCAATCCAAATTGGTTGCTTTTATTACCTTGTATTGTGCAAATTGGAGTATTGGTTGGGGACCATCACCGAAAGCTTCCTGGTTCAGTCTGTGTATTCTTTCTTTCTCACTTCTCTTTTCATTAATTATCCTTAAATCCACTGCAGGGCAAAGGAGTAGAGAAGAGAAAACAGAAAGACAACTTTGGCAGCTGCTGCAGTGCTGTTCTTCTGCTCAGATCACCCCAGGGAAAAGTTGAAGATAATAATTTTCACAAATTCATCACCATCTTTTTTTCTTTGATAAGGTAGTTATCAAATAATTACATTTTCAGTGCTTGCCAAGAGAAAATCACAATCTAATGTGAGCTACTGGGCACTGAGTGTTTTTGGTTTCCTGTGCACAGTGCCAGTCATGGGGCATTGCTGACTTCTCCCAGTGCAGCCAGTTATGGAACAAGGAATGGATAGTGGAGTGGGAATGTGAGACGTGTAAATTACATCCTCTTACAGATCTCATGGCACAAGCCAGCAGCAATGACACTTCAAATATACTTACCGTTTTTTGGTTCTACAGCCCTTCCTTGGAGAGGTTTTGGACAGTAAGTTTGGAAGTTCTAAATGGAGAGAAAAAAAAAAATATTTTAAGTTCACTTTTAGAAGCTGTAGCTGAAAAGAACTTTATAGATTTCTTTTTGCTTCTCAAAATGAGTATTCCTCCAATTTGTGACCAGGACTAGAAGTCAGAAGGCCAAACTAATTTTGAGGAAAAAAAAACGTCTGTCCTATGATATTTGTTAACAGTTCCCTATTTAAAAGTTTTACATGGACAAGCAGACTAAGTGCCCATTTTAACAGCCTTCAACTCCTGGCTCTGAGAAGCCCAGGGAATGATGCTAAAAAATCCTAAAACCGAATTGCTCCTATAATTTTTAGCCACCAGGAATAACAATAACGAAGAGCAGGTGGGATACCAAGTGATCACACGCCCATTGTTACCTTGGAGAAAGGCTGTCCACCTCAGTAGTTCAATATTATTTTAACTTGATGGTCTCTTGGAAAAGGTGAATTTTCCCCCTTTCTAAGGGGTGAGAACTAGGCCTGAAACAAAAAGCAAGACTTATCTTAGGGTTTACTTGTGAAGTGGCTCACCTGGCTATATCTCTTAAACACAATATCTTTAAGGGAGTTTAATGAATGACTTCGAAGCTCCATTTCACGGATGTCATGGTAATTGGAAGCAACAATCAGGGCCTTTAAATAAAAATTGAAATTGGTTTAACATCATTCTTAATTACCACTGTGCTTATAATATGTCAAAAATACAGTATTTCTAGACATTGTGATGTTCTTGTTTTAAGGGAAGAAACTGCCCCTTAACCAGCAGGATTCTCATATCTGACAAAAAATCTTGCATAGACTCTTATTAAGCTCATGTTAATATTTAAAAGCATTCACAGGATTAACAAGATAAGCCCCATAGCCTTATCAGATGAAAAATAAACAAGCAGAGTAATAAAATATTTAGATTACTACTGCAGAAGTTTGCTAAATAGAGGAAAAAAAGAAGACTACCGACACTGATCACAAGTTAACAGAAAATGAGTTTTAAAACTAATGAAGAGCACTCCCTGGTGAGCTCATGTGTTTAGTTCTTCAACTTAATCCTGTTGGTGTAATATTCGTAAACTTCTACAAGACAATTTAATCAAATACTGCCTTACACTTTGCTAAGAAACAGAACAATTCAGGATCCGTAAAAATCCCCATGAACTGAATTTATCCACGAGGCACCGATCCAAAGATTTGGGGTTTGCCCCATTTTTATCATGAGGGATAAAAAAAAACCCCACAAATGAGTAATGTAGTAAATTGTGTTCAGTGAAGAATCTGTTCCCATCCTCTTAAAGCTCACACAGCTGTGGCTGGCCATGGTGAAATGAGGGTGCCAGCAGCTTTGCTGTGTACCTGGCACAGCAGGGGCAGGTTGCTCTTGAGCACCGAGGCAGAGATGAAGGCGTAGGGAGTCTGCGAGTGGTACACGACGTAGCTGGGCTTGTACTGGTTGGGCTGCCTGTAGGGTGTGCCCCAGGCAACTCGAATCCAGATGGCATTGTCCTCATATTCCCTGAAGGTGATGGTGACCTGAGAGGAAAAGGAAAGCTCTGATTTACCCACACGTTTTGGTGTCCACAAAGATTTGCTTCTCTCTTAACCCCAACCATCACTTAGTGCCCCACTGCTTGAAGAAGAAACAAAACCCACTAAGTTGTATTGGAATCGAATTTCCACTGAAAAACAATAACCTCACAAGTTGGGATAAAAAGAACAATCACCTTTTGAAATCTAGTATTACTTTTCCTCCTGTCAATGTACATTTCCTTGTGAAGGGTGACAATAAAACCAGCTTATTACAAAAGCCTTGATTTCTCCTTTGGGAAAATATCAACACACAGAGATGTCTGTTTAGATGGAGGGATAGTGGCAATAATTCCAATATGTCCATTTTTGGAGAAACTAAACTTTTGATCAACTTGTGATTTTAGACCCAAATATAATATTTATCTCTGCTCAAGAATTCACAGTCAGAAGGCTGAAGATTCCCTTTGTTATTCTTGTAGATTTGCTCCTTTTTTACTTCTTTTTACCTTGACTCAATCTGGGTGACTTTGGAGTGGAAAAGCTTCCTTTAAAAACAAACAAACAAAACAACAATTCACTTTTTGTCTGAGGCACAAGTAGGGCATAAAGTATTGAAATTGCTGGGCCAACAATACTTCTTGAAGGTTTTGAGAAACCTTTTTTAAAACCAAAAATATTGCAGGCTTTTCTTATAAGAGAGTGATGTGAAGTGTGAGCCTGATTTGTGTTTGCTGTCAGTGGGAATGCTCTGGGTGTCAGGGAGTGACACAGGGAATCAGCCAGAGACATTTTCTATTATCTTGCCTACATGAAGCTGGTGAACTAAAGGAAGAAAAGGCTTCTGCAAACTGTTTAGTAAAAAAGTGAAATGAGAGCATTCCCTTCCAATTTTTTCCTTAGCATGCTCATTTCTGCAGTTTAGAAACTGCTGCTTGCTACTGAGAGTGTTTTTTCAGTCATCTTGTAAAGAAACACCAGAGCCAAGTTCTCAGAGCCATCACAAAATGCCACTTCAAAGCCAGCATTAAAAAGAAATGAATACAATGTTGTTACTAATCTAAATTATAACTGAACTCCTTTGTCCTGCTTAATGGCTACTTCAAACTCCCTCCATCCTGTTTGAGAAGGTTTTTGTTGTGTGTTATTATTGAGTAACAGGCAAAGAAATGCCAACTTACTGTGCCCTCAAATACAGCCAAGATTTGATAAGAAGACACCACCACTTTCTTGCAGTCAGTCCCATTTTAAGACAAACTCACATTTTAATCCCTTCCAGCATAACTGTGAAGTTGCTAGAACAGATATGCAGTACATTTTTGCTATTTCACATGCGGTTCCTATCACTCCCAAATGAATAACTCCACTTAATTTTTGACACCAACTGTGAGGAAAGGTTATGAAAACAACATATTGACACCAGAGCTGTGCAACAAAACTTAGAATGGATTCATTCTTACGTTTTTCAAGGCTGACCGAAGTCTCCTTTTAAATTTCTTTTTGAAGTCTGTTAAGTCAAAATATTCCAGTTCTTCTCCTGTTACGTGAGGGGAAAAGTCAACCCAGAAATTAGAATTGTTTGTAAAAGAACTAGTTCAGAGTTGTTTTTAGTTTTGCTCCAAGAAAATGAAGCAGAAAAAGCTGAAGTTGCATAACCTTATATAAAGTGTGTGTCAAGTCTGCCCCTCATTATTGCTATATAGAGAAAAGGTTAATATTTAATTAGTAGTCACTAATTTCTAATAATCGCTTGAGAACTTAAAGTATTCTAAAAACAATAAAGATATCTCCATTGAAAAATTTGGGCTAAACTGCAGTAAAATGTTCAAAATATCTCTACAGAAGAAATCTATGTGAGACTATATATTTAAAATGTAGGATATGAGGCAGCACAGCACTAAGCTGCTGAGAACTGTGGGAAGGAAGGAAAGGAAGCAAGGAAAGAGATTTTACCTGTTTTTCTCATCTGGTAAACACTCCACATTCTTTTGTTTTGGTAGATGTGGTTGTCTAGGAAAGGCAGAATTGCTCAATAACATAATGTATTGTCAAACAGTAATTAAAGGAACAAAGAATTTTACAATACTTTTACAGGCAGGTTACTTTAAAAAAAGATTACTCCTGCTAATGCAATATAATTTATTCAGCATTCTTCAACTACTGCTCATAGCAAACATAAACCAGGTTTTTTATGAAAAGAGATGGGAATTAATATTGGAGTTAAGAGTTCCAACTGGAGCATTTGTTGATAGGTTTGCCTGTCACTCCCTGTTGGAGCTTGGAATTCCTGGCTTTAGGGTTTGGTGCACACTGGAGACAAACCTGTATCTCTGTTTATAACTGTGTGCTGGATGTGGGTTCCAACACTTCCCATCTATTGAGGCCTCAGAAGAAGCAAAAGTGCTTTTGTTGATTTTGAGCTTTTCTTAAACAAGGTCATCTACAGTGAAATTCATCTCAAATGTGATCTGCTTACACCAAGTGCTGCCCCACAGTAATCACTATGTAACTAAGGGCATTATCAAGTTACTAAAAAAAAAAAAAAAGCTATTTTAATTAATTTTTTACTTACAAATTACATCTAGGACAGCTGCTTGCTTTATGTCTGCAGAGTTCTCCTAGAAAGAACAACAGTGCATGGTGAACTGCAGGTCCACAATGCTCAATCCCACTGCTCAGCATGTGAAAACTCTGAGTATTGGGGGTTTAAATTCCATTGCACTGGAGCCCCCAGCACGTCCACTCTGCTCAAAGACACCACCCCTGGTCCCAGGGTGCACTCATTTTTCAAAGGTGGAACACACTGAGCTTTTATCCAACTTGTGTAATTTAGAGCTCAAAATATGTATTTTCATACTTAGTATGGGGCAGTTCTACACTCCTATAAACCAGACAAAACTGATGGTATTACCAGCTCAGCTTTGCATTTTCCAGACTACAAACTGCCATTTGATGCTGTTTTAGGGCCAAAGATGATTTTTTTTTGATGGTGCTTCACCATGCATCCTGTCTGTCACTGACAGTTCCCAAAGGGAAGGATTTACCTCACAGAGCTGAACGACTTCTTGGGAAATGTTATCCTTTAGCTGATGGAAGTTGAGAGTCTGCAGCTGTGCCTCAGAGAGAAAGCCCCACTTCTGCAGCATCATCTTGATTTCATCCCGGGGGATTTTCAGCACAGTCCTGCGGATGTACTCAGCCACAGTTTCGTCCATGATGGAGCCACCTGGAAAGCTGAATGGTTAAGGAAGTTAAAGACCAAGGCATGGGCAGGCTCGGGGGATTTGATCCTTCTGAAGGTGCACAAAGCTGACCTTGGCACGAGTGGCAGCAGGTTGGTGTGAGTCCTAAATATGGCACTACCACAGGCTCAGGCAGACATCAACAACAGTGAGTTCAAATGCTTCTGCAACAACTTTCATAGAACCACTGAACTAGAGAATATTCTGAGTTGGAAAGGACCCCCAAAGCTCATCGAGTCCAACTCCTGTCCCTGCACGGGACACCCCAAGGACTGTACCAAGTACCCGAGAGCGTTGTCCAAGCTCTCCTGGAGCTCTGTCAGGGTTGGTGATGTGATCGCTGCCCTGAGGAGCCTGTTCAGTGCCCGACCACCCTCTGGGGGAGGAACCTTTTCCTGGTATCCAACCTAAACTTCTCCTGACACAGCTCCAGCCATTCCCTCGGCTCTGTCACAGGTTACCACAAAGCAGAGATCAGTGCCTGCCCCTCCTCTGCTCCTCACGGGGAAGCCGAAAACCGCGATGAGTTTCCCCCTCTGAGCAAACCAAGTGCCCTCACTCCCGCCCTCAGAACTTCTCCTCCCTGCCCAAGGCCTGGTGCGAGGCGAGAGACGGGGCATTGGGACTCACCCAGGGCTGTTCCTGCCTGTCCGGTCCGGTGAGTGCCCTCAGACGGCGGGCACGGGCGTGCAGAGCGCCCCAGGCCGAGCGGAGCGGCAGCACCGAGAGGAGCAGCCGGAGCGGCGGGAGCAGCCGAACCGAGCGGAGCAGCCAGAGCAGCGGAACCCAGCGGAGCAGCAGAACTAAGCGGAGCGGCGGAGCCGAGCGGAGCGGCCGAAGCAGCGGGAGCGGCAGGACCGAGCGGAGCGGCCGCCCCTCAGCGCTCCCGCCCTGCGGGTTCGGGCCGGGCCGCGCCGCGCGCCGCCCGCCTTTCGAACCAGCCAATCAGAGCCCGCGCCGGGCCCCGGCCGCCCAATCACAGCGCCGCCCGCCCCGGCGCTGCGCGCGCCCTCCTGACTGAGGCGGCTTCCGGCCGGGGCCGCCTCACAACACCGCGCCTGCCCCTGAGCCTGCCCCGCGCCGCGGGGAGAGAGTGAGGGGCGGCCTCGGGCGGGGCCTCAGGGAACCCTGAGGGGAAAGAAGGTGTGTAGGGAAATCCTCCTTCCTTCCTTCCCCGTGTCGCGCTCTTCCCTTCCCCACCGCCTGACCTTGGGAGGTCCGCGTTCTGGGACGCTCCGCTCGCTGCGCGTCTCCCCGCGGGGCTCAGGGAGGGCTCTGGAAGGGCGGCTGTGAGGGGACCGCGGGTCTCGCCGCTGTGGGTGCTGTCAGCTGCTGTCCCTGTGTCTATGTGTGTGTCCCGCCGCTGGGTGAAGGCCTGCCGGGAGCAGTGAGGAGCTGCGGACAGCGCGGGTTCGAGGGGACCGGGACCCCCCGCCTTACCCTGGTAACAGAGCCGGCCCCTCGCAGCCACCCCGTGGCACAGCCGTGTCACTCGGACAGTGTTTAATCTTCTGCCTTTCGTCAGGGGCTCTGGCTGCCCGAGGGGTCAGAGCCTGTGTTTTCCAGCAGGGAATTGTGATTTTCTTGCTCTCTTTTCTTCCCCAGCTGTTTCAACAGTAAGCGGGGAGATCCTGCTGGCAGCACTGGGGTTATGGTGATCTTTGGGAAATTCGTGAAACAGGGATGAAACGAAGCCCGGTGTCGTGGGTGCAGCCAAAGTAGAAGAGCAGCTGGCAAAACAGGAATTGGGTGACAGCACCTTGTCCTTATAGAATGGTTTGTGATGGAAGGGACCTTAGCGATCATCTCGTTCCAACCCCCTGCCATGGACAGGGACATCTGTCTCCCACTGGATGATGCTTTACTTTTATGCTGGTTGGGTCTTGTCATTCTTGACTGCATATTGTCTTCAAGGCATAGCAGGAATAGGAAGAGACACCTTCAGTAATTGTGATACAGTGTTATACTGTGCAGTAGCACTGGCTGTATGTCAGAATAATTGTCCTGTAATTATGCTGATGTTTGTTATGTGAACACAACCTTAATGCCTTCTTGTGCTTTACTCAGTCCCTTCATCTTAGAAATAAAACTGTAGAAATGGGTTGATATTCAAGCTGGTGTTCAACCTGCTTTATTCATTAGGACCAACACCTTCTTGCTTTACTAGGTGTGAAATCAGGTATGATGTAGTTTGATCAGATACTTACTACTAAAAGTGGCAGGTGAGCTCATTCTGTTGCTGTCAGGGATGTTGAAATGTTAGCAGAAAGTGGTCTGAACCTCGTTAATCAAAGTTTTTTAAAAATAGTAGGGTTTTAGAGTAGTTTTAGAGACTGAAATTCAAGAGGTTATGACTAATTCTTGTAAGACTTGGCTAAAAGTGGTTTATTAAAGAGATCCCTTCTGTTTTGAGATTGCGTGCATCAACTGTGATTTCTCGTTTCACTGAATGACTGATCCAAGTATTCAAAGCTTGTCACCAAAAATCCTTTGTGTATAAAAGGTAACCCTGGGAATGCAGAAGTTCTGCTGAAGTGACATCAGTGATACCATTGGGTGTGGAGCTGAATCCTTTTTTATGCTAAAACTTTGTACAGTCTCACAGAAAACACCAACGATTTGAGTAAACAAAGTCGTTTGGATTGTAAGTATTTTTTTCCCAATGCCAAACAGAACAGTACTATATAACTGAGAATTTAAGACCCCAGATGTTTGGTTTGGCTCAAGTTAGACAGTGACATGAAGTGCAAAAATGAATGTTAAGCGTGGAGAGTGGCTCTTTAGAGGAATTCCGGGTTTGTTCCCCTTTCCCTGCTGCGAGTCCACGTTCTGCTTTGCTCGGTTCTGCTGCCGCCTGGTGGGTGTTGTTTTGAGTGTTCGTAGCAATGTTTGTGTTCTGTGGCACCTGAAGCAAAGCTGGGCCCTTTGATCTGTAGCTTCTGTCCTACCAGGAGGGGCCGTTGGAAGATGCTTTTGAGTTGTTGGAAGGTTTTCATTGCTGACGTGCACAGCTCACCAAGTCTTTCCTTCAAGTGCTCTGTTTGACTTTCTGGCCTGTGCTGATGTGCACATTCCCTGTTTCCCTGGGACGCTGCTCCTGCTTCCTCCCTCCCAGACAGCCCCCTCGGGTGGCTCTTTGAGGAGGCTGAATGATGAAGAGCTTTAATAATCATCTGGGTTCACACGTGTTCCAGTAAAGCAACAGCCACTGAGCAGGTCACCCTCCCCAGGGAGCACTAACTCCACTGCTATCAGAAACCTCCACTGATAAATTTAAAACATATTGACTTTGTGTGGCGTGCAGTCAAAAGCTGGTGGCAATAACACAGCAGGGTTCTTAATCACTTTGCTGTTCCAGTCGTGCTCCTGCTGTCATAATTCCAAAGGTTCATTTGTTAATTTGTCAGATAGAATGCTTAAGGAACTTGTACAGTCTCCAACAACTTCTGTGCTAGGAGTAAGTGTGGTGTGACATTAGACTTCCAGATAGGATGGGGGAAGATTTTTGGAAGAAATCACTATGTATGTTCACAACACTATGTGGAGCGTGATTCTCGTGGTTCTCAAGAGGCTTTTAAATGTCTGGAATGTTAAAATTTAGTTTGCTTGTGGAAATCTTAACTCCTGTTAAGCTGAGCACATGGTGGGAAGTAGTGGGTACTTTAGTGTATGCACCTCTTCAAGCTGAACATATTTCCTTGAGCATCCTAAAAACAGCAGTGTGGATTATTGCTGCCAGCACTGCAGCTGAATGGGGGGGATTTTGCAATTGTAATATCTGACCACTATCTGTTTGTATTTGCCTGATCTGTTCAGCTGGAGGTTTAAGACAGTGATGGCTGTTCAGTACAAGCTGTAGTGGTGTTTGCCTGATGTTTTGCAGCAGGAAAGGTGATCTCCTTGGGAGAAGAGGGAATGACAAAATATTAAGCAAACAAACAACATGGAGTTACCAGAAGGGACATTCCAATTGTGCATAATTAAAAAAAAAAATCATAACTCTTTTGATGAACTGATTAAGAACTGGTTTTTAAAACATCACCAGTGTTTGGATTAGGGCTTATTAAAAAGCCTGTAGATAAAAAAGGTGCCAGTTCTCAGAGTGCTGTAATGGAAGTGCATTGTGCTTCCTGTTCTACTTCAACTCTGTAGAAGGTAGAAAGAAAATCACATTCACTTCACTTTCTTAAAGCGAGAAAGCAGAAAATTGAAGTAGGGAAGTGAAAAGATAATCTGCAGTTCAAGAAAGATTAATGCTGCTAGAGAGTCCCTGAAAATGAAAATCCCAACTGTGTGCTTGTGTCCATGATAGCCAAGATTATAAACTTCTAGTTGACTTTTAACGTTTGGGCTGTGTGGAAGATCAGACATGTGCTGGATTTAATAACTTTACAGTGTAATATAAATTATACGTATTAAGCTGCATTTTGATCTAAAATACATTTTGTTAAAATACTGCTGATAATGTGTGTTAAGTCAAGCTTTCTAGTGATACTTTCCCATTTTAGTGTTGGCAGGTGGAAATTTTCTCGGGTTCTTGTCCCCTGTGCTACTGAAATCATCCCTAACTAAAGATGCATCCAGACCTGTCTCCTCATCTGCACACTGAAGAGTGTAACCTAATTATCAGTCTGCTCAAGAAGTGTCACAAGGAGGTAAGGAGTGCTGAGCAGAGAAAAGAGTGGGTGGGTTGGGGAAATGAGTGTCAGATAAATTAGTGAGAATATTACATGATCATGAAGAGCAAACCCTCCTCTAGGCAGAACAGCCATGAAATGGAGCTGGAGTGTTTTCACTGAAGAGGGATCTGATGACTGTGTAAAACCTTGCCAGGGATTTTTTTAAGAAATACAGCATACCTTCAAATTTCCTGTGCTCCAGCTCGATACATAGGGACCTACTTTAAGGGCTGAAATAACTTCTGCACCTTTTAGTACTGTGTGCCCCTCAAGAAAACAGTAATTAAAACAACTTCACGTGCCCTCTTTTTGTAGGGTCGTGGCATTTCCAAAATGTGATTTACACCAATCCTTACACACAATCTAAAATATTTTCACCTCCATGTTCAGATACGATGTTGATAATTTTTTCTAATGCAGTTATCCGTAAATTCTAAGATTTTGATTTACTTAAAAATGTTTTAGGTAATTTGAGAGATTGCAGAGGCTCTTTCTTTCCTTTTTTAGTTTTTTTGGTAACAACATTAATGTTGTAGTATAATAAAAGACTCCTCTTCTACATTTGCTTTAAATGCATGTCAAGATGCAGGTATCATGGGCTTGTTGTGTAATGTAGCTGATCAGCCTGCCTTGAGAACAGAACTTGTTCTGGGGGCACTTGAATTCCTTGGCAGCAGGTATTCCAAGGAATCCTTTGCCAGTGTGACTGAGGAAGGGACCAGCAGCAGCAATAATAGCCACGCACAGGGTTATATTCTCTTGGCTTTGTTTGAAGTTGGTCTTCACATGAAGAGGAATCACTTTTGTCAGTCTCATGCTCAGCTGGATATTTGGGAGGCAGTCTCGGAACAGGAAGGGTGAGGATGGCTCCTTTCACCCTCACTTGAAAGGAAGCAATACTTTTTCATCTGAAATTCAAGGGGAATGCACTGAAATATTCTTTTTAAATTGCAGTCAATGAAATCTGAACTCAGTGATCTTAATGAGTTATTGGTGACTACTTGCTTTTTTCTTACAATGCCAAAATATCCTGGGAACCTTCATCTACAATTTAAATTACTATTTCTGAGGGATGAAAAACATTATTTTTTTTAATTGGGTGTCCTGTATGTGTATTTTCACAACAGCCAATTTGATTTACCTTATTCCTAATCTAGAACCTTCCCTGCATATCAGGTTTTGCATCTAGTGAGGAGAGGTTAATGGGATTCCTATTTGATGTCACTATTTTGATTTCTTTAATAACTCCACTCTGTTGCCAAGTATGTGCTTTAAATAGACTTAATTTTTATAGGCTGCAGCTGAAAGAAATGCATATTGTCTTGCAATTGTACCACTGGAATAGGTGTAATAACTATTTTTAAGAAACTGATTCCTTTTCTTTTTCCCTCATAATCTGAGCCAAGAAGTGACATCTTAGGAATCTGGTTAAATAAACACAGATGAAACAGTTGCATAGTCAGAGTGGAGTTGGCTTGAAATGTGAGCACTCACCTTGAGATTTAACATGCAGGTATGGGAGCAGAATACAAAATTAAATCTGTATTAGCTGAAATGAAAACGTTTTAAAAGCCAGATCAGTGTGCACTGAGGTGACCATTTATTTCATGCAACTGCTTCAGAGTCACCTGATGCCCTTTATAAAGCAGAGAGGTGTAAACAAGCTAATTATAGCACTGCTAGAGTTAAGTGTTTGTCATAATCTTTATTAACCCACTCCTGCTTCCAGTGATGTTCTGTGGGCTGGAATCTTGGCCCATTTGAATCCTTACTAGTGTCCCTGCACCTCCTGTATAAATCCACCCGCTGCTCCTCAGCTGTGGAAATGCATGGAGGTCTTCCCAGCATACAAAAGTAATTTCATTTTCATCTCTTTTGTTCCTCCTGGTGTTTTTTTTTAAATTCATTAGTTGTGCACAAGATTGGCCGAGTTGTCTCCAGTGATTGTGTAGCTGCAAATATCTACTAAAACCTCCACTCCTTCAGATCTTCCAAAGCACTTGGATGCTCTGCTGCCACATTCCATCGTGGGGTTCTGTGGCATGGCAGGAAGCATCCTCTGACAGAGCAGTCCTAGAACAGGCACTCTGGGAGTGATTTGATGGCTGATAATATGGAATTGCTTCAGGAGATCCTTCAGAGGAGAACAGATTTTTCTGGTGAATATGCTGGGAATGCCCATGAGGACGAGACCTGCAGTTTTGCAGAAACTAAGGAACACTTAAAGATGTGTAAGGCCCACAGATGAGCTGTGTCATAAAGGTGCTAATTGCCTCTTATTTATTAACCTCAAGATCTGGAGAAATTTAATACCCTGTTTTTTTATACTGATTCTAATGTTTCAGGCAATTAAGCCCAGTGCCTGCAATTTCTGGAACAACAACCCATTCCTCAGGTGGTTGGTACGATGGAGCAGAGAGTCCTCTGACTGCCTAGTTGTGAAGAAATAACAAAAACTAAAGCAGGGAGAACGTTGCCTTTTTATCTCAACCTGGAGTTCAGAATATTTATTTTTAGTCCGTCATTCAAGGTTGTGTGAGAGTTGTCAGACTGACTTCTTAGATCCGTAAAATGCATGTTCTACATTAATAGCTTGAGCTCAGGTGCCCTTGTTTAGTCTGGTTGTACAACAGGGGGGATACCTTCAACCTTCAGCAAGGTGGGGGTGGCTCAAGTGAGGGTCAGGAGTAGCTCTGAACTTTTGGCTGGTCGGGAAAAAAAGTTACCAAACATCACTTTTCATAAAAAAAAAAAAAAGGAAAGGAAAAGAAGACCAGGATACATTGAAAAATGCAAGAAATTTAGAGTTTCAGAAGAAGCAACCTTTGAATTGTAATTTTGGTTTTCTCCCTGACTCATCAGCACAACATCTTGAAATTTTTTGGCCATTGCAACGACATCGACCGTGAGATGCGGAAATGCTTAAGGAAAGAGGTAAGAAACAAATACACAGTTTATAGAGTTCAGTGCTTAATAAAAAATGGGGCAGGACTAGAGGTACTTTTTACTAAGTAGCACAAATCAATAAAAGTAACCACATTCAGCTGTGGGCATTTGAGACCTTTTTTTTTGGCTAAATTTGTTAAGTAAAATCTGGCTTTAACAAACAGAATGGTGTATTTTTTGATACACAAAAACAGGCAAACAGGCATTTTACCACAGCAAATACTGCAGACAGGAACTGCCACTTCACAGATGGCTTCTGGGCTTTTTTCTGATTTTTTTTGAGCACTGGTAATTGCACAGAGTAGGATATGAAGCAGTAATGGTCACTTCTGCATGAGTGACACCTACAGCTGAAGTCAGTGGTAGTGACTGAAACTACTTAATGAGTTGCTGAGTTAGGCCCTGGATGAAAATATTGCTGTACTACATCTGCAGATACGAAGGAATGAAGATTCCAGGAGTTTAAGTGGATTTATTGTCTTAATGGGCAGGTTTTTCAGAGGAGTGTCCACTGATCTTTATATTCATGGTTGTCAGGCCTACGTTCAGAATGCAGAACTGTGACTTTTCACACACCTCTGGACTTGAAATGGCACCTTCTGATTTTGGCATAAATTTCACAACCGTAAAAAGTTTCTCTCCATGTAATCTTGTCAATCTTATTTTTCTTCCACTGAAACCTTTACATTAAAGGGGTTCTTGATGAGTATAATTATCTGCCTTCTCAAAATGGGGCTACACTGATATGCCATTACTAGGAAGCCCCTGAAAGGCTGTTCACAAGTATTGAATGTAGCTTTTAAAGATCCACTGTTCTCATTCTACGTAAAAACACGGGTGAGTTATTGAAAAATTAAATATTGGCATGGGAAAAAGTTAAGCATTCTGTAAATGTTAAGTAATGTTTCAGGTCGTTATCTCAGTTATAGACCAATCAGTATAATGGATGAAAAACTGCAAATCCTTTCCAAAATCAATTTCCTTAGTAGTTTATTGCACTGTATAGAGAATTGGGTAGTTGTGGGTTTCTTGGGTTTTAGTCATGATACTGGTTGACAAACATATGCTCTAACTTAAGGACAAGAATAATTTGCTTCTCGTAAAATATATACCAAGTCATGCATTGATTTTTAATTTTTCATTTCTTTTAGCCATGACAATGTTTCCTTTTTGGTTGCAGTGAAAGAAAGGCTCTTCAAGCTTCTGCTGGTGCAGGGGCAGACTTGAAAGCATTGGTGGTCTTACACATACATCTAACCTGTGAAAGCTTTCTTGATTCCATTTTACATGTTAAGTGGAATCCTGGAGTCCTGTCTCTGTTGTTCTTCTTGTTTAAACCATTAAAAAAAAAACCCAAATGCCTTACCCTCAGTCAATCCAAATTTGCCTTTGTTCCTTTCATCTCGGTATACTCTTTATCTGTGCGTATAATTGATGTCCAGGATCAAAAGTAGACCCAGTCTGTGATGACAAATCCGTGCTCCAGAAGGCAGACACACATTAATCAGTATTTTAAAAGGAACAGAGCCTGACCTGTGCTCTAAAGTAGCACCAGTGCAACTTTTGGCCCAGCCCACGTGTGAAGAGTTGGACGTAAAACCGCTGTATAATTAAGTTCCTTCCTAAGATTAACTGAATCTTCTTTATTAAAGTGTTCTAATACCCTTTAGCTTAATAACCTCAAACTTGGGAACATTTTATTTTAATGGAGTAGATGTAAATTTCAAAGTAAAAATGAACCTGTATGTAGATACTAACCAGAGCTCTCTGTCTAATGCATCAGTGGTATATATTGTTCCTGGATAACAAAGTCTTTTAGATTTGCTGTGTCTGTCTAATGACAACAGCTGATCTGTTCATTTCCTTATCTGTCTTCCAGTATGAAGAAAACAGGGCCATGAACCGGGTGAAGCGACAGAGGGTCATTAATGCTCACAGGAGCCCCGAGAAGTGAGCGGGGCTGGGGCTGCAGCTGCAGCTCCACACGGACACTCACTTGGAATTTGACTGAACACTGCCTGATCTATCACCAGTGGTTTGGGCAAGGGTGAAAAAATAAATGCACCTACTGCACACTCATTCTCAGCAAGGCAGCCAGTGTGGAAATAAATAAATAGATCGCTCACAACTTAATTTTTGACCTCTAAAAGGGAACTATCGTGGCAAGTCTTTGTTCTGGCGTAGTTTTATGATTGGTAAGTAATGAGGAGTTGGGGTGTGTGGAGTGCTGTGTATTCAAGGCTACTATATTCCCCAATTTGTGCTGAATTGCATTTGTTTCCTCGTGCTTAGCAGTTTCTCCCTCATTTCTCTGGGTTCTGTGTGGGGTTTTTTGTTTGTTTTTCATTGCAAAGCGCTGAATGACTTTCTCCATCGCTCTTTGTAGCGTCGTGAAAGCAGCTCTCACATGGATTAGGAAAAGGAAATTTTAAACAGATGTGGCTAGAAATTGGAAATTTCCTATCCAGGAATAATTGGGAGTTCTAGTATTTTTATTGGAGCTAAAAGGATGCAACTACTGTCTTCAGCTGAGGAGATTAAAACCCCTCCCTGCCAACCGTGTGAACAGTGTCGGCTGTTGTAAGACAATTTGTTCATCGTACCCAAAGCAAGCGGCTTTAGAGTCTCCCAGTGGAACATTTCCAGGGATTTACAAAGCTTCCCCTTGGTTTTTGTGGAGCACAGTCAATGTGTGCTGAGTGATTTTTTTTTTTGAAGAGGAGCACTGCCAAAAATACAAGCTAAGCAGCTCTTCCATGTTCCCCGGTACAAAGGTGAAGTTATGACTGTTGCAGTTGGAGAAAGGAAGTGTAATTTGCCTTTCAGGTGGGCAAGAAAACTCGTGTTGTGTTCCCAAGTTGCCTCTTAAGCTGTTTATTTGCCATCAGATTGCAGAGTCCTCGAGAAGTCACCGAATTCAGATGATTTCCTATCAAAGCATCCACTGGTTTGCCCTGTGATGGAGCTGCTGTTTCTCTGTGTCTGCTGCATTCACCTCACTTTTAAATAGTGCCTCTGTTCTGCCAAGCAACAAAAGACTGTTTTGAAAAGATTAATTTTATTCAGCCAAATATACAAAGTGTCTTGAAACTTTTTGAAAGAAGGGTACCTATTCTACAGTGAGCTGGATGGTTTGTTGTAAGAACCATTGCTGATAGTCTTGAATTTGGTACATTGGATGATGTTTTGGAAGTTTTGGAAGAAAACTGTATTTTGTGCTCTATTTTGAAAGGTGAATTATGTATTGTACTTATTTTTCAACACCTGGATGGACCCAGTTAAATTGGTAAAACATAACCACAACTGTTTACAGTGAAAGTTCCAAGAAAAGCTGCAGCAATTGTTTTTGCATCTTCATGTGCTTTTTGCTTTCTTAGAGCAAGTAAATGATGCACTGTTGAGTTAATACTTGAATGGTTGGAAGTGCTTTATTGGTATTTTTCAGAGTATTTTCAAAGAGTACTTTATAGAGACCCCCCATTTGGGAGCTCAGCATCCCTGATTCTTCCATTTGAAATGACAGCCTACTTCAGGCAAGCTCTTAAACAGGATTTGTAGTCTTTAAGTAAATAAATAAACTGAGAATTGTTCCAGAGATTAGGTTGAGAAGCTGACATCTGAGTGCAGAAGCACTGAAGCTTTTGTTTCTTTCATCAGCTTCTGTGAGCCCCGATCTTTCACACAGCAACAAAACAAAAATCCAAGAGCCACTTAACACAGCTCATTAGTCAGAATCATGTTTTCAGAGATCAATGTGCTTAGTGAATGAAAGACCAAATGGAACACACAATTTCTATTGATACTTTGAACTACATTCAGCAATAATTCTATTTTACAGATAAGCTTTGTTTACTTAGTGAAAGTCTGATCTTGTTCATCCTTCTGTTTCTCTTTGCTAATTGCCCACTAGTGGTGTGAGATGAGAGTGCCCATTGACTGCTCTGGGTTTTGTTCCTTTTGTTTGAGAGAGTTTATGTTGCCAATTTGATCTTGAAGTGGAGAAACACTGGTGCAATAATACTTATGATTTCACTGACAGAGAAAGGGGAAAGGGTGAAATGGTAAATGTGTTTTTTTTTCTTGTTTTCTAAAGTGAGCTGAGTGGTGAGAGGGGATGCCTTGGGTGAAATAAACTTTATCTCTAAGGACTTGGAAGACGCTGCATTGTAATGTCATTTGTCTGTAGGAGTATTTCCCCCATTGTTGGTTCTGAAAAGAGCGTGTTTGAGAGAGAAGAGAAAAAGAAATTGGATGTGATCTTGTGTTGTGTGTGAGGAGCTCACTGGCTTTTCACATGGGAAAGTGAAGAAGGGAGAAACAGAAAGGGCAAATGGCAGCTCTGATACAGACCTGGCCCCAGCAGTGAGGATTTTCCACACCGAAGCACCACAAAAGTCTAGGATTCATGGACAGGAGGAGCACAGAGCAAGGGTGTGATAACTGCCCAGCCAATCCCCCCAGCTTTACCAGAAATACCTGGTAACACTGTTGGCTGTGTACTTTCTCCTGCTGGAAAACTCAATGAGGACATCTTGTTCTCCTTCTTTTTAGTTTTATTTTTTTATTTATTTCTTTAGTAGAAGGAAAGAGACTCTGCTGAATAACAGCACATGGTGTCAGAGCACCAGGGCCAGTTCTTTCTCTGGTGTTAAGTTCTTTCCACAACAGCACTTGAATCTGGTGTTGCTGTTGAGCTGCAACGCTGAGTGTTAATATATTATGAATGTTCCATTTGTCTTTCCCTGTTCCACTTCAGCTGGTAACACCCTTGAGGAATTTTGTCGTTTGTGCAGATAAAGACTGTGTAGTTTCTAGACCTTGCAGGAAAGCCTCGATTCAGCTGAGCTGGCTGTACAATGTGGGTGAGAACTGTAATCCTGGCAGTGTTGGAGCCACTTCCCTTATCCCATCCGATTCCCAGCTGACACACTGGTTATTCAAGCTCACCAACACAGGGATGAGCTGATTGTGAATTTTCTGGGCATGCAGAGGGTACTCAGACCCTGTAAGAGATGTAGCCTTGGTGCACAGTCCACAGGAATGACTAATATGAGTAACTATTTCTAAAATATGCAGCTGGGAAGTTTTTTAGTTATTCCTACCCTAACTGGGAATCACTATAATGAATATTTCTGATGTGTTAAGCACTTTGCTGAAGCTCTACACCACATTCAACAGTCAGGCATTTCTTAATTTGGCACTGCCCGTGCTACCAAAGAATGCATGACATCTAATACAAAATCTTTCTGATATAACTGAAAACACATTTCTGTGGAATACCTAAAAGGACGTGAACAACAAGAAAACTATGGTACCAGAATGTGATAGTTGAGTTAAAAATGAATTGTTAACACTTGTGCTTGAGCAAAGTGGATTCTCTACTTGGGGAACATAATGGATTTTACGGCTGTAACTTAAGTTACACATTAATTTTTATTAACATTGACTAAAATGGAGTATCAGCAAGTCTTAGTGGTCCCATTAGATTGTTTATTTTACAGGCTCAGTGGTAACTGTGCTGCTCATCAACAGAACCTGCCTCGTGGTAGTGAAGGTAAAAACTTTTAAGTGAATACCAAATTCACACTAAGTTACTGCGTAGCAGAAAATTTATCAATGGCAACAACATATATATTTAGCCTAAAAATGGTTTTCGTGGACCATTAGGCTTTAAAATTACTCTTTTGAATATTTGGTGACATTTTAAGGGCTGGGAACTTTGATTTGGAGCTTTAACCAGTGAGACCCTTAGAAACCTTCAGAATGCTTCAAAAAGATAACTGCGCAGAAAAATCTTTTGGCACATTGATTATCTGGAAGGATGTTACTGATGGCTTGACAGACCTCATCCCCAGTGCAGCCATCAGCCATCCAGAACCTGGAGATTTGTTTTACCTCGGCAAAAGCATCAAACGCCTTAAGGAACACGGATAAGAGTCACAGCCGGGGAACGCTGACACGGCCGTGACATCCCCAACACTGAGGTGCTGAGAGCACGGGGTGCAGAGGACGTGTTCTGTTTGCATGACATCAGCGCTCTCAATTTTACAAAACCTTTGAGAAGTGTTCCTGACCTTTCCTGCCGCAGCCCGGGCTTGACCCGTTCGATGGCGCTGAGCCGAAGGGGCCGCTCCCCGCGCTGCCATCACCGCCCTCCGGCTGTGCCACTGACTGCGCCTGGAAAAGCCTTCCTCACAGCCTGCCTGCCAGGAGGAACATTGGGAATCTTTTAGTGTTTTTCCCCGAGCCCTGGCGGACCCACCAGCCAACAGACACCGGACGTGACCGTGCCCGGAGCGGGACGGCTGCGGGCACGGAGCTGCCTCCCGGGGCGAGCCGCCAGCGCCCCGCGCTGCGGGATCAACGCGGTCGGCAGCGCCGGCTCCACTCGCCGCCTGGCAGCTGGGAATGCCGCCAGGCTCGGCGGGCACAGCCCGGCCCGTCCTCCCCCGATCCCGCATCCCTCATCCCGCTCCCCTCATCCCTCATCCCGCTCCCCTCAGCCTGGTCCCTCGCGCCGTTAGCGCCGCCCAGCGGCCGCGCTCAGCGGGGGGCGGGGCTGTGAGGCCGCGCCGCCATCTTGGCGGGCCCGGCGTGGCGCTGGCCCCTCACGGCTCTGTGTGGGCTGTGCCTCAGGGACGGGGCTGTATCTGCAGCTCGGGCTGTCCCCAGGCGGTAGTGCTGTGCCAAGGAATGGCCTCAGCCCTCCTCAGAGCAGCGTGCTGGGTGCTGGCGGGTGCCACCGCCCCTGAACGCCGCGCGGCCCTACCTCAGGTAAAACACACATGAAACGACGCCCACGCTCTTCCCTCAGCGAGTCCTCGTGGCCATGAGTTCTCACAGAGCCCCCCCCCGTGCCCTGACATACTCGTATGGATGCTGTTGATAGCTCGTTGATGCCAAATTCTCTTGCACAATCCTGTTTTATTTGCCACCCACCGTGTTTTTTATTTATTTAAGTCAAGTGGATGTTGCGCTCAGTGCTGTTGAAATAAGCAAACGTGGTTGGACTTTGCTGTGTCCTGAGGAGGGCCCTGGTCGCAAACCCCAGCAGGGACTGGTGCCGACTTTCCCAATTATCCTGTATTTGGTAGGATTAGAAGTCTATACCTCCTTCTCTTCCACCCCCCCGGATTGCTAGTTATAGCTATAAAAGGTATTTTGGAAACAACCATGTTGTGCCCTCATAAAGGCATTCCTGTTTTCCAAAGTTCAGCGAGATATTGGAACTGCACCCTGATCTGGAAGAGGCCAGGAATATAAGGCCATCCTCAAAGTCAACTGGCATTGTTGCAGTTTATTTTGTTAGTGATTCCTTTTGGGTGGCATAGTGGTTGGTTCGTCCCTTGCTTGGGATGTTCTATAGTATTGTAATTATTTATTCAGTGGCACTTACACAGTGTGTGCAATTCACAGAACGATCCACCTCAGCTGTCTCTGTTAATTGACAATTCCAGCTGTAATTCTTAAACTTTCCTGTAGCTTTCAGAGCTAAATATTTGCGTGGATTATGTAGCTGCGTTTTGGTTTGGTTCATGTTCTAACATTCTTGGTAATGAATATATAAAGTACTTTGTGTCTAAGTGGCATTAGTTAGACAGCTGCGGTTACAAACAGCCCACATAATCATGTTAAATCAATATTAAATGTGTGCTGCTGAATAGTTGTCTTTGGGATGCTGATGGTCCCAATTTAATTTAAACTTCATCCCACTAGTGCTTCCAAAAAAACCTCAGAGGAAAACAAATCAAAAATCAAATCCCCAGATGAGGAAGTCCAAATGGAATAACAAGAGTTTCCATAATTGGTCCACAGTGGCTTCATTTAGGTGGATGTACAAGTGTGTGGTGTGTGGCAGCAAACAGCCCAAAACCTGTTGACTGTTACCTGTCACAGAGGGAACAGCTATGGAGAGTGGGATTTGAGATGGCCATAGCAAGAGCTAAACATTTTCCCTTGAATTTTTTTGGGCTGGGCTCGTGTTCAAGAGCTTCTGTCTCTATACTTGGGGCTGTGCTCAAGGGGAGGGTGAAAATGAATCAGTGGAACTGAATCTCCTGGTTGGGAAGTTGCATTGTTGCTGCAGGGAGTATGGAGTGGAAAGCAGTTCCAGTGTCCAGTCCTCGCTGGAGATGTTGCAATGTTCTCTTTAGTTGTTTGTTAGACCTCCCCATGTGTTATTGGAAGATGCTGCATCGAGAAGTTGTGTCCTACATGTTATACTGGGGCTCTACCTGCAAGGGAAGTGAGAATTCTCCCTTAGAGTTGCAAAAACCTTGTCCAGATTAAAACATCTCTGTTTTAATAGGTTGAATGTCTGGGGAAGAACGTGGGACGTTAATCACTTGTGACTTTTATTTGTGGCTTGTTTGTGGCCACAGATCAACAGGCCAGTTTCAGTGCGTTGTGGTCCTACTGAGCTGAAGTTTCCTCGTGCCCTTACACCAAAAACAGGGCTTAAGGGATGGAGGTCACACCAGGCAAATGCAGCTCAGGTCCACCTGGGGCTGGCTGGGTTGCAGAAGTTGCCCAGCAATTCTTGTGTGTTTTATGCGAGTTATTAAGGAAGGGAAAAAAGTAAAGGCACTGATGTAGGTTTTTGAAATTACTGGTGGCATCCAAAGATACATTTGAAGTGATGAGGTGTGTGTGTATGTATTATCTATTTATTTATTTATTTGTGTGTAAGTGTGTAAAAAATTGTACAGTGAAAGCAAGGAAATGGCCAATTTAATCAACTTTTCCAATATGGAAGGGTTATGGTTCTTGTTCTTCTCCCCCTGCTGTAGCAAAACCCAACAGTAACACAACTCTGCAGCTTAGTGAGGGCGTTTGCTTCTATTTGGGGATTTTGATCCAGCATATGAAAAATGAAAAAGTATTACCAAAAAATCAGGAGAGAAAACAAAATACATTAATCTTTCTGTTGTCTTTCGAGACACCGCAAATAGGCATTTTAATTTAGGTGTGTTTGACTTGGCTTTGACAGCCAGAGAAGCTAAAATAGCTTAGTAGCAGCAAGAAGTTTGGAATTATCATCTGTTTCTGTGCTAACCTGCATTTTAGAATTATTTAAGCTAGGTGCAGAATTATGTTCTGAGCCTTGCCATTCCCAAACAAATCAGATCACTAATATAGTGAAGGATGTGAATGGTG